GAATCCGCTGAGGGCCATTTTTTTGGCTTGGTGGGGGCTGGAGGTTCCCTGTAGGTTGAGCCTAGCCTTCACATCAGCATGAAGGGCTAACACTTGAATCCGCTGGCAACTTAACGTTGCGAGGAAACCCAGGCTGTGGTTTCCCGAAGGAGTCCTTTCGAGCCTCTCTGCCTGACTTGCAAGCCGCTTCTTCCTGCGCAGGAGATTTCGCCGCTGGAGCGTTCGGCAGCTCCCTCGTGGCGCTAGTGGCACCAGAGGCTTCCTTTGCAGCCGCGGTTTATTGGGCTGCTCTCTATCGACGCTTGCGGCTTCTGGCTTCGTTTCGGACTCAATGGGTGGACCAGTTTGGCTGGTCTTCTCCCTTGCTGCAACCTTTCCTGACTAAGGTACCGAAAGGGGTTTTTTTTTGGGCGCGCCATGTTGGTGTCCTTCTGCCTGCATTCCGGTGGCCATTTTGAATCGACCTCATGGCCATTTGAGGCCTTACCTTTTCAGGCCGCTAGTTTTTTTTTTGTTTTTTTTTAATTTTTTATTGTAAACAAACATACACATATAGACATAAACGTTAAAACAAACTAGACATAAACTAACTATACAATGAAATCAAGTCACATAACTTGAACTTTGAAAGTCGAGCTACTTCGGTAATTATATATCAATATATCTATATATATTATCATTCATCTTGTATCAATGTTATATAACGATATTTCCTTTTATTTCCTTATTTTTGTATCATTAAGTAGTAATCTCTTATTTCGTGTCTTTTTTATCTAACCATTTGTACCATTCTTGCCAAATTAAGTAAAAGTCTGTATCTTCTTTTCCTTGTATTTCTTTGGTCAATTTGTCCATTTCTGCACATTCCATAATTTTTTGTATTATTTTTTCTTCTGGTGGCGTGTTTTCCAATTTCCACATTTGTGCGAAAACGATTCTAGCTGCAGTTAGGATGTGTATTATCAAGTATTGTGTCTCTTTTTTATAGTCCTTTGTCAGTATACCTAATAGGTAAGTTTCTGGTCTGAGGGGTACTTTTTGGGCGATAATTTCTTCCAGCTGACTTTGAATTGTTTTCCAAAATTTTTTGACTTTAGGGCATGACCACCACATGTGGTAGTAAGTCCCCTTCTGCATTTTACACTTCCAACAGTTCTGATTAGTATTGGGAAACATCCTTGCCAACCGTGCAGGGGGGAGATGCCACCTATAAAACATCTTGTACGTGTTTTCTTTGTAGGGCACGGACATTGTCAGCTTAGTATTTACTTTCCATATTTTTTCCCAATTCTCAAGGTTAATATTATATCCAAAATTTTTGGCCCAGATAATCATATTTTCCTTCACCACTTCTTCTTCCAATTTGTATTTTAATAGATAATTATATATTTTAGTTATTAATTTGTCATCTGATTGCATTATAATTTTGTCTAATTCATTTCTTTCTTTTTGGATTCCAAATTTTTCCATATCACTTTTATATCTTGATTTTATCTGTAAATACGGTCAGGCCGCTAGTTTGGATACCCCTTGCAGCCAGTTTTCGTCCCCAGATACAAGGCTAAGTGTGGCTAGGTTTTGGATTGGGCAGTTATAGTTTTCGTTAAATCGTTGGGGGTTATTAATTGCTGCCCTTTATTCCCCAGACCCACGATGGCTTCTCAGAGGCCTTCCAGGGCTAATAAACAACGCCTTCAAGGCGAAGAGCCCCAGGGATCTACCTCCGTTCCTGCAAAAAGGAGCAGGAAATCACACCATTCTGCTGGAACCTCTAAGACTGCACAGTCATCAGCAGCCTTAGCTAAGGAGGAACTGAAGCTCCACAAGGCTATAGAGAAAGCCATTCAGAAGGCCACCAAGGCAGCTTCCTTACAGGAAAAGGTCATACCTAGTCCTCAAGTGAATGTTCTTCCTGCAGCCTCCCCTCACCCCAGGGAGACCTCTCCTTTACCCCAGACCACGATCCCAGTCTTATCCCCTGATGGGGATCAAGCTTTGGCTGATGTACAACAGGAGGTCAATGTCTCATTGTTTGGGGTTCAATCGGAGGCTCCTCCCAATCCGACTTCTTCAGAGGGTTTGGTTTCCCCTGATGTACCTGGGACTTCTTCAGATCCGGCCCCTGTGGCTCCTTAGGCCCTCATTACCCCTATCCTGGCTTTGTATATCTGAGAGGCTATCCGGGAGGGGGTTAGACAGGAATTGCTACAAAGAACATCCTCATGGGTATCTGACCAGGCCTGTTCCCAGGTGGATGTTGAGGGTTCTATTGCCTCCGCTGACTGTGCCATCATCCAGAGCGGGGTTGAACTTGGTTCGGGACAGGTCAGAGCCCCCTCATCCTGTCAATCTGAACACGGTTCCCTAGCTGGTGCAGACCTTTTAGATCAGGAAATGTCAGAGGATGAGGATTTAGCTTCTGACCAACCTGCATTTGTTGGTCTTTTCAAACCTCAATTGTTTCGTTCACTTCTCCACAAGGCCAAGGCCACCACGGGGTTGGGGACCCCTAGCCCAATGGAAGCTACCCCGGGGGAGGGGTGTTGCTACAGCGGTTCCTCTCTTTGAAGAACCGGCAGTTGAGACAGAGGAAATACCAAGGCCTACGCTTTTTAGGGATGTTTTACAACGCCAATGGTCATCCCCTGCTTCAGGTCCCAGCCCCAATGCAGTGGACAAGCGCATTTATAATTTAGCTCCTGAATTGACATCTCTTTTACAGGTTCCTACTGTAGACCAGCCGGTAGCGGAATTGTCGGCTAATTCTAACTTGGCTGCACCCCCGGAGGATAGCCTCCGTCCAGAGGATAGGCATTTAGACAATTCCTTGGTTAGATCTCATCAAGCTACAGCCTGGTCAATTAAATCTACCATGGCCGCTTCCTTTTTCAATCAAGCTTCCATTCTTTGGTTGCGTCAGCTACAGGCTAGACTTCCTATATCGGATGTCCGGTCCCAACAGGACATTAGCAAGGTCATTGTGGCCCTAGAATATTCAGCGGATGCCACATTAAATTCATCTTGCTTCGCTGCCAAAGCCATCGGGTCTTCAGTGGCTGCCCGTCGCTTGCTCTGGCTCCGCCAGTGGCAAGGTGACGCCAAATCTAAATGGCGCCTGGCTACATCTTCCTTTAGCAGACCCAAACTTTTTGGGGCGGCTCTGGAACCACTTCTAGTGGAATCCAAGGATAAACACCGCATCCTTCCAAATTTGTCCCGTAGATCTGAAGTTCGTTCTCAGTTGTCCTTTCGGCCCTTTCGTAACCCAGAGGGAGGTTTCACGGGTTCCCGTAGACAACGGTCCTTTCCACCTAGACAGTCCCGTTCACAGGACCGTCAGTTTTCCCCTTCCTCCCGGGGTCAGGCTAGATGTCCCTTTCGAGGGGGCCGGGGGCGGGGCTTCTGCAGGTCGCGCTGATGGCTTGGATGGGCTTCCCATTGGGAGCCGCCTGGCATCCTTCGCCAGCAATGGGAGGCTACCTCATCAGACGTGTGGGTCAGAGACACTATCAGGTATGGCCTGTCTCTGGAATTCCTCTCCACCCCCCCAGACCGATTTCTGAGATGCCCTCTTTCTCGGGTCAGGGCATCCCAGCTCCTATTAGCATCGGCCATCCAACATCTCCTCGAAATTCAGGCCATAGAACTGGTGCCTCAGGAACAGCACGGACTAGGCTACTATTCACGCCTATTCGTCATTCAGAAATCGTCAGGGGGATGGAGGGCAATTCTCGATCTCAAGTCCCTGAACCGTCGGATCGTCTATCAACGATTCAAAATGCAATCCCTCCAGACCATCTTGGAGGGGATCAGGGTAGGAGACATCCTCACCTCCATCGACCTGACAGAAGCTTACCTGCACGTCCCCATCCATCCTGCATACCGTCGCTTCCTCAGGTTCTGTTTCTTAACCAGTTATTACCAGTACAGGGCCCTTTCTTTCGGTCTATCCTCGGCTCCCCGGGTGTTCACAAAATTGATGTCCGCCCTGGCGGGCCATATCAGAACGCTACTGCTAAGGATGCAGTTCTATCTGGACGACCTCCTCATCCAGTCCACCTCAGAACAGCTGGCGCACCAGGACCTGTCCACCACTCTCAGGGTCTTGAGGAACCACGGGTTTTCTGTCAACCTGGCCAAGAGTCACCTCGTGCCTTCTACCCGTATACAACACCTGGGGGCCATCATAGACACGAGGGAGAGCAGGGTCTATCTTTCCCAGGACCACCTGTTCAGCCTGCAGTCTCTGGTCAGGTCAGTGGTGATGGGGTGGACCTCTTCCCTGGCGTCACTGTCACAACTCCTGGGAATGGTGTCTTGCATCGGGATTGTTCCCTGGGCCTGCCTCCAATGCAGACACCTGCAGTGGTTCCTCCTTCCCTATCAGAAACGGCAGCTTGGAACATCCCAACAGGTGGTTCGTCTCCCTCCCAAGGTCCTCAGGTCCCTCAAATGGTGGGGTTCAGAAGCCCTTTTTCAGGGGAGGGAGTTCAGGGAACCTCACTGTCTGGTCCTGACCACGGACGCCAGCCTTCACAGCTGGGGAGCACATCTGTCTTCATCCCTCGCCCAGGGCTGTTGGACCCGGACCGATCTGGAACACAACATAAATTGGCTAGAGCTCCGAGCCATCTACCTGGCCCTGGGGGTGTTCGCCCACAAGGTTCAGGACAGACACGTACTGGTCAGGACCGACAACGTGGCCGCCAAGGCCCATGTGAACCGCCTGTGGGGGACCTGGTCTCGACAACTCATGGAGGAGGCCGAGAGGCTGGGAGCCTGGGCGGAGACTCATCTGAGGTCTCTACGGGCCTTGCATATTTCAGGGACAGTGAACACCCAGGCGGACTGGCTCAGTCGGTCCACGGTGGATCCTGGGGAATGGGCCCTGGACCCGGACCTGTTCTTGGAGATCACATCTCGCCTCGGGACCCCAGTCGTGGACCTCTTTGCCACTCGGAACAACCGCCTGATGCGCAGATTCTTCTCCCAATTCCCAGATCCAGAAGCGGAAGGCGTGGACGCCCTGCAAAGCGACTGGCCTCCCGGTCTCCTTTATGCCTTTCCGCCGCTTCCCCTCGTATCCAAAGTCATTCGGAGAATGCTACAGGAGAAGGCGGATCTGATCCTGATCGCACCACATTGGCCTCGCTGACCGTGGTTCGCGGATCTGAAGGCCCTTTCCATCCGTCCTCCTTGGCGTCTACCTCCGGACAGGCTCGTTTTTCGTCAGGTTTCTCTCCAGCATCCGGACGCCGGCTGGCTACAACTAACCGCCTGGAAATTGAGCGGCGACTGTTGAGCGAGTGGAGGCTGCCCCCCTCGGTCATCGCCACCATCCAGGCAGCTCGTCGCCCTTCGACGACTCGCATCTATGCCTCTACATGGCGGTCATTTTCTTCCTGGTGCCAATGGAATTCCATCGTAGCCACGAAGTCCTCCACGGAGCAGGTGCTAGTGTACCTTCAGGAACGTCTGGATGCGGGTTTGGCCCCAAACACGCTTTGCAGGCAAGTAGCCGCCCTTTCGTCCATCCTTTGTTGTGAGTCCAGGGGTTCCCTCTCCAGTCGCCCTCTCGTTAGGCAGTTCCTACGGGGTGCTTCTAACATCCGTCCTGCACCCATTCATCGATACCCTACATGGGACCTCCCCAAGGTCCTGGACACTCTCACGAGAGCCCCATTTGAGCCCCTCAGGGAGGTTGGACTGTGTTTTCTCGCCTATAAGGTGACATTCCTTCTGGCCATCACCTCGGCCAGACGGGTATCGGAACTAGCTGCCCTCTCTACCCGTGCTGACCTGTTATTTTCCACCTGGACAGAGTGGTTCTTAGACTGGACCCTACCTTTCTACCTAAGGTCAACTCTCCCTTCCACCGGTCCTTAGAGATTGTCCTTCCCGATTTCTGTCCCCATCCTTCTCATCCCTTGGAACGGGTCTGGCACACGCTAGATGTCAGACGTGCCCTGCGTATTTATCTTAGGAGAACCTCCTCCATAAGACAATCAGAATCACTTCTAGTTTCCTTCCAGCCTTCTACCCTAGGGAGGAAGGCCTCCTCGGCCACGCTGGGCCGCTGGCTCAGAGCTACCATCGCCAGGGCCTACGAGGTCCAGTCTCTCCCTGTTCCCCGCCACATCACGGCCCGTTCCACCCGCAGTGCGGCGACCTCGGTTGCGTGGGCCATCCAGGCTTCCATCAAGGAGGTCTATAGGGCAGCTGCGTGGGCTTCACCGACACCTTTCATTAGGCATTACCGTCTTGACCGTTTTGCCTCAGCCGATGCAGCTTTTGGCCGCAGAGTGCTGCAACAGGTTCACGGGGGGCGGACCTCTCCTCGGGCAGGTCCCTCCCGACAGGGTCTCTGCTTGGGCATGTCCCGTTCCTGACCACTGGACCCAGAAGCAACGAGATTGGGCGTTGACTTACCTGAACGCTTCATCTGGTTGCTCTGGGTCCAGTGGTCAGCCCCTCCCTGTTTCGGCCCTCGTCGTTCGGATGGCTTTGTCGGTCTACCTTTCTATCTATTGCAGCTCTACGTGTCAGTCTGCTGTATCGTCTTTCTTCAGAAAGCTGGGAAGCAAGGCAGAGGGGCGGAGCTTCTCAGTTAGTAGACTCAATCGAGCATATTGGAGTAAGATTAACCCGTTCCTGACCACTGGACCCAGAGCAACCAGATGAAGCATTCAGGTAAGCCAACGCCCATATTGCATTTGAATGCAAGGCTAAGTGGGATGTTAATCTATGCTCTATTTTGTCATTGGAGTGATGGTTGATTCTGGCTTAACAAATTTGAGATGCCTCTCATAGAACTGTGTGTATTAGGAGTGAATCACACCATAAAATCTTTGAGATGGTGTAAGCGCTGAATGCACTACATAATAGGTATTATTAAAGCTGGGATGAATGGGCAATCATCTAGAGCTTTTGGGATGTAAGTTTTCTGCAGTGGATTGGTCCATGTTGGCAACCTTGCACCCGAAGAATTCAGTCCTGAGTTCCCCAGAAAGCTTATTACAACATGGTCCTTGGCATGTGCCAAGTCTTCCTCTGGTGGGTATGATTTAGCTAAACTTTCCAGGAAGCTCACACAAGATCTGTAGAATTAAATGTGGATCATAACAGTAGCTATTACAAACAACTGGCAATCTTTTATCATTAAGCTAATTCCCAAACTTATAGCATTGTATCAGACAGGCTATTCCCGAGGAGGACTGATCATAACACTTGCCAAAATCTGACAAAAGATTCTCACAGATTCAGATCAGTACGTTTATTTCAAGGAAAATGGTGATGGGGTATTCATATCTTAGTCCTTAGTTTTATAGTGAACATGCTAAAAAGTATGGCTTCTATATTGTCTTTGGTACTCTTACTGAGCATTAGTTTAATAGGGAGTATGGTAATTTCTTATTTGATACCATAAAAAGGTCTATCTGTTCTTTCACAGTATTTTGGAAACATCCATTTTCATTCTTCATTCTGAGCATTTTCATCCTGAGCATTCTCAGACTCCGAGCCTTCCATCATGGAGCTGTGGTGTGCTTGAAATGCTTCTAATTCATTTTTCTTGTGATAATTGGGGGCTGGCAGTCCCAATCTTTGTAGAGCAGGGGTGTCAAACTCAAGGCCCAGGGGCCAGATCCGCCCCGCATGGGTGCTTAGATCTGTCCTGTGAGGCCTCCCTAGAAACAGCAAAAGACCAGCCCATGGTGCCTCTGTTGGCGAAAACAGGCGCAGCCCCGAGCTCCGTTTTCCCTGGCAGAAGGCAGCAGGAGGCCATTGCGGAGGAAAACGAAGCTTGGGAGCCCATTTTTGCTGGCAGAACGCTCAGGCCATCACAGACGTCCCTGAAATGAGTGATGTCAAGCTGGCCACGCCCACCCTGGCCCCTGAGGTTAAACTCAACCCTGATGCGGCCCTCAATAAAATTTAGTTTGACACCCCTGTTGTACAGTTTGTATGGCTTGGCTGCTTAAGTAAGGATAGTTTCACCCCAGAATATCTTAGAGACATTTCAGCTAAAACCTTTATATGCTGAATGAATTGTGGTGTTTCGGTTACACAGAACTCCACTCATCTGTGATGCAAGCATGCCATGTTAACAAACATTTTTTTTCTTTAATGTCAGAATGAGATTATTGGTACCATATCAGTTTTGTCCTGCGTTCTGTAACATACGCATACACACACAGTATATATATAAAGTACAATCTTTGTTAGGAGCAGGTTTTTGAAGCAGATACTATACCTTGGAAATCTTTTGATCACATACAACCTAGTTATCTATACTGCCTTTAGATGTTCTGCCTGCTTTTGAAAAAGTAATATGTCAAACCAAGTTGACAAAATATACTTGTGCCAGATAATACCTTGCAAGCCATTTTAATTTTGCAATTATGAAAGGAACAAAGTAAAACTATAAATGAAGACTTTTTTTTAAAACTGTGGGATACGAAATAAAGTATTCTCTTGGACCTGCTGGTTGAAAAGGATGAAAGGGTGGTCAGATAAATGACAATTACATTTTTAAAATCATTTTTTCACAGATACAATTTCGCTCAGCTCTTGGCCTGATTTGGGAATATTTTCTCTTCAGTCAGCAGGAATGGTAATTGAAGCAGTTAATAAGGCAAGGCTTATCAATACATTTTGCCTCATCACCAGCCCATAGCAACATTGCATTTAAATTCAGGAGATACAACAAAAGAATAATTTACAATTAGATAAGATAGTCTTGGAGAATCCAATTTCACCCTTCACCTCCTTCAGTTCCCAGCCCTCAACTTTGACATTTGCACCAAACGTTTGCAACAATGCAAGGCTTTAAATTGTTAATCCTTGCATAAAACAGTCTATCATGGACTTGATATTCTCTTCTGCAGCTTCTTTTCCACTGGTTGAAGGATTCCCTGAATAGATTTTGATCTGCAGATGTTGCTGCCTGCAAAAAAAAAAAGAAAGAAAAACTCAGGAAGAACCTCAGATGGTAGAGAATCCCCAAACTTAGCACAACTACTAGTTGGAGGCATGGGAAGACCATGCCCTCTCTTTGCATTCCAGAGTGACATTCTTTTATCGAATCTGAAATGCCTCCTGTGGTGAGAAGGCCGCCTCTTCTGTTGGGCGGGGGGAGGGAGGGATAGCAGATCCTAAGCCATCCCAGTGTATTGTACTGCAAGCTTCTTAATTGATTCAGCACCTATTTTATAATTTGTATAAAGTTGTTTGACTTTACATTTTTTAGGCTTCAGTAATGTGCTGATAGAGTTTAATTTAAAACATTCTGTTTCTTCCATTATTGTTATTAAGATTAATGAATTTAATAAAGTTTAAACAAATGGTTTAAAACTGGATAATTTAAAAAATTTAGAGAGGGAGAGGGGGAGAGAGAGAGAGAGAGAGAGAGGCATAATTATACACAGCACATTTTTTATTAGAGGAAGGGTTTTTCTTGAAGAGTACATTCTTGCCTGTAGCTAAATGATTCATCCAGTGAGACATAAAGCTGGAACCTCTGTTCTTTAGCACTTTTACTTTGGATAAAAGTGTAAAGCAGGGAGAATAGTGTTGAGTGTAAGATGGCACTCATGAGACCAACCCTTGTATGTATATGACCTTGTAATCACATGACCACAGGATGCTGCAAACGGTGGTAAAGGCAGAATTTCTGAATGCCCCAAATGTCATGGGACCATGGTGTGCGTGTCTGTCAGGACTTTGGAACTTTTGGGGGTCCGTTAGAACTTCAAATAGCTGCTAATGGCCAGTCTTAAGTCAAGGACTACCTGTAGATGAATTCATCAGATTTGATCCAATTTAGTCAATGCAGTGTCAGATTGGATTGTCATCAAAGCATTTCCAGTTGAAGCCCATTTTCTATCAGAAGACTCATTATTAGCAACTTGTAACAAATTAGGGATGAGAAATCTTTTATTGGTTGTTGTGGGGAGAAAATGTGGGTTGCTCTAAATTTTGGGGAAAATTCACTCTGCAGACCATTGGTTGATTTAGGATTTCAAGCAGCCAATGTGGGATTTAATTTTTTAAAAAATGGAAATGGATATTAGTTGTTCAGTCACTAAATCGTGTCCAACTCTCTGCAACCCCATGGACCATAGCATGACAGGGAAATACCTGTCTTCAGGCAAATAGTTTGCCTTCCATTTATAACAAATTTAATTGCTGTGTGAACTACTGGAGTAATACCTGCCATTATTTACTTTCAGGAATGTTGGAGATTGCTGGAATACAGCTTGTGTAGTAGTCTCTGTCCTGGTCAGGACAATTCATGAGGTGTGGCCTTATTATAGTACTGCAGTTATAGACATCCTCTAGTTGTTGAATTCTGGGAGTTGTATTTCCAATATATTCTGTGGCATGTCCTGAAGGCTGTTTTAATCTGTCTGTAGCAACTATAAGAAATTTGGAAAAGCCAACTAAGAACTGTAGAAATCAATTATCTTTTTTCATTTTTTTCTTCATTTCTATTCCATACAAAATTCTGCATACATTATTACATATTTAGGTGATAAAGGCATTGCTCGGGAAGCCCTATAACTATGTTTTTCTGCCCCAAGAAGTATCTACAGCAATGGTCAGTGCTTCAAAATGAGTAGGTAATTATAGGCTGCCTCTTTTATGCAGGTGCAATACAGATAGTCCTCATTTAACAACCTCAGTTAGGATTGGCAATTTAGTGGTTGCTAAGTGAAACTTCATGATTTTACAATCTTTTTTGCTTTACAGACCTGAAAAGGTTACAAATAAAAGGACTGGTCACAAAGTTACTTTTCAGTTATTTGTGTAACTGGGGATAGTCACTAAATATGGTAATTGCTAAATGAGGACTACTTGTAAATTCTATGTCCTGCCATGTCACCCATTTGGAATCCAGTTACTATTGCTACAGATGCCCTTTCCTGCCTAGCTGATACTGTGTTGAAATTATATTCCATACTGTTGTGTGGATCCTCCTGTACAGGGGTGAAATCTGAACTGGTTTGCTACTGGTTCACTGGCCCCGCATGCACACCAAACGTGTGCTGCATGCGCAGGGTGCACCAAATAAGCGCTGGATGCACAGTACACACAAAATATGCACTGTGTGCGCATGACACTACACACCAAGCACGCACTGCACATTTTAAAAACTACCGGTTCGGGTAAACAGGTAGTTAGCTACTGCTTCAGTTGAACTGGTAGTTTAAAAAAGCTACGATCCGACGATCACCTGTGCTGCACAGTTTCGCTTTGCTAGAAAGCAGGATTTCCTGCACATGCACAGTACACACCAAAAGGAGGCTTGGGAAGGTAAGTAGAACCGCGAGGGGGGTATCAGCTGTGCCGTGCGGTTTAACTTAGCTAGAAAGCTAGAAACTGAACCGGAGCGAACCGGTAGCATTTCACCCCTGCTCCTGAACCATCTACATATGGGACATAGGTCCAGATGAGGCTTTACTAGTTTCATATTTTTGCTGCTTTGAAATGGTTTTAATGCAATATTATGCATATTTATTTATTTATAAGAGTTTTGGAGTTTGAATTGTTCACCTAAACATCAAAAGTTTCTTATAAAATATCCAAGCCAAGCAACGTTATTCTACCAGTAAGAATCTAGGTTTAAATACACCTAGTTGAAGTTAGTCCTACTAAATTAAACTTAATTTTCCTTTAAAAAAATAAGATTTTCTTTTCTTACCACAGATTTTAATTTGTAGTATTACTAATAAGGTGTGATGTCTGTTTCCATTATTGAGCACTGGATGGGAGATAAATAGTTGCACTTCTATGTTTTTGTATCTTCATCAAAACTAGATTATAGATTTTCTTTTCATTTTCATTTGGCCTGAAAACTAAACCTGAATTTGGCACATATGTAACTGAAGGGTTCTACTTAAAACCACCACTTAGTCTCTTTTTAAATAAATATTCTTTAAAATAGAAAGTTGCTCATTCCTGGTGTATGTTTATATCTTCAAATCACTTCAGTTTATAATAATCTAATGCTCAGGTAATCTCTAACTCATTAGAAATGAGGATGGAATTAAATCTGATTGTCTGTTTTATTGAAATAGTATAACCTATACGATTTCCATTTGGTTCTATATTTCTGATTGTCTGTTTTAACTAAGGAGAATGCAATATACTTAATCGTATAATTTTCTTTCTAGTCCCCAGAGGGTGCTGAAGCCAAGGATGCAGCAAAAATAACAAAACAAGAGGCAAGTCTGATTGTTTCAATTCTTTCTTTTATTGATGGCAAGATAATAGAGACAAAAACAATTACATTCCTCTCAGGCCATAGTCAGTCTATCTAATAAAGTGTAGTGGTGCTTTTGTGACAGCTGGTTAAGACTTCATATATTTTGTATATTTAAGCAAATTCTCTTCCTTGAAACGTAACATTTTGATAAACAATGTCCTTGTTTACTATCACAATGTCTGGTTGATTGGCTAGTACCTGCCTGTCTGTGGGGATCAGGAAGTCCCACAGGATTCTGCAAGGGCAGGATCAGTTTCTTTTAGGGTCAACAAATGTTGATCCATTGGTTGCAACAGGAATTGGCCAACCAGTTTGTTGTCCAAGCCTGATTGACAGTCTTCTGGTGCAAAGGAGTGAGCAAATGACAAAACATGCCCCTTAGAAACTTCTGTGCAATGTTATGAGGGAAGTTTGAAATGTCAGATGTGGCATTGTAAGTTCATATTTTGTCATTTTGGCATCATTCTGGTTAGGAGTAGATGCCCACGGATAAATTTAATGTTCTGTCAGTTACAGTTGCTACAACAGTTGTTCCCAGGTGGCCTTTTAAAGTTCTTCCACTATATTAATGGGCACATTGAGAGATAATTTCTTTCCCAGGCAGGAAGAACTTCTTCAATAATTTCCACATGCTGGGGCAGACACCCTTGGCAGTGCAAACCTCCACAAGCCATGTTGCCCCAGTGACTGAAATTCAATAAGATTGCCCACATAAGAGTCAGAAGCTTGATTTAAACTAGAGAGCGAGACAGAGTGTGTGTTAAGATTCTAACAATGCCGAATTTTGTTTCAAGTGAGAATTGCTGTAATGATTATATAAGGGCATACTACACTGTATTCTCTGGTTAGATTTTGAAGCAGAGTTATAAATCCTTAATGCAGACTTATGAGCCCAGTTTGAAAGTAATGGTATCAAGCAAGGTTGTGGTGCTCCTGACTTGTCCTTCTGACAATACTGAACTCACAGATAACATCTCCCAACAGGAAGAGCCAAGGGAAACCAAGCAAGCAGCTATGTCTTGGTATATTTGCTCCTTCGTAATGAACCAGAATCATCATATGCAAATTAGCTCATTGCATTTTGGGAGTATTACACTCTCAAATCCCAAAATATAGATATTTGTGCTATTATATAACTTTAGAGCAGTTTTCTCCAACTTGAGCACTTCTAGATGTACAGGGAGAATGCACAGAGAGTTCAAGGGACTTCATACACATTAATTTAGTCATTCTTACTATCTCTAAAGCAGATTGGTATCATTATCCCACTTTTGAAATGGTTTGGTGGGATATCAAAGAATATTCACTTGTATAAGAAATGACGGAGTATATTTTTTCTTTTTTAAGTCCATGGGAATTGAATGAAGTGGGCAATCATAGCCTCATATACCATGACTGGATGTCCTCATGCCCATGTGTACCATGAGATGTGAGAACAAAAAAACCCCACAACCCTTTATGTTCTCCTATAGAGATTATTTGCATACAAGTACAACTGTCAGTGTGGACAGGATCAAATACCAACTACTTAAAAATCATTTGAATGTTCACATTTTTTTTAAATATTTGCATGGAATATACAAGTTCCAAAGTCTTAATGTAAGCTGCTGCCATTTATAAACTCCCCTTTGAAATTATAACTTCCTTATTTTAAAAGCAGAAGGAATGTGCAAATAAACCTGTGAGAGATAGAATGCTCTTATCTCCAAGCACATATCTGCTCTGCAAGGGAACTTATTCCCATCTGGTACAAAGTTAGTTCACTCCATTGGTGAAATGAGGAATCTGCTTCACAGACTTAGAATTGTCCCTCATATTGGAATCTTTTGAAAATAGCTTGAAGTAGGTTTTTTACTGCTTGTCACACTTTTTTAAAAAGAACCCCCCCTCCTCCCCACCCAGAATACATCTACTGCATTTGTTTGCATGGTTTCCAATTATAAATGCAATTGATTTTAAAGGAAATAAGAGAGAAGCTCCATTTAGTAAAAATAGCAGCAGCAGTAATATTAGAAGACAGTCTTGAAGTAAGTATTTCTATTACAGTACAATTGTATTTACTTTGCAGCAGGGCCAACATAAGCTAAGATTAGCCTTGCCCCTAGGAGGAAGGTGTGTTGGATATATTTACCACCTTGAGTTATTTGTAGAAATAATAAAGGCAGCGTATAAATAATCAAATAAATAAATAAAAGACAAGCAGGGATGTTGGGTACAATACTGTTAAGAGGCGACACTGACTAGAACCTTCTAAAACAGAATCTTCTGCACTAATATCTGTTGGAAGTAGCTTTTCTGTGGAAAATACAAAGGCTTGAATGTGCTATCAACATAGTATGTAACACAACAGCCTATTTTGATCATCTGTGTGATGTTTCCTTTTTTTCCTGAAATACCCATATTGCATGTTATGCTTTGGCAGTTAAGAAAGTTCATTTTGGGAAAGATCTTATTGATAAGATGTATAGAGGGAATAGGGTATGGCCCTGAAGGATAGGGGGAAGAAGTTTTACAAAGGCAGTAGTTAGATAAGCAGGGCTTGAGCCTGGCCTTCAAAATAACTTGAAAAAATATTTCACACAAAGTCCTTCCAGGTTCATATGAAGATAAATGGAAATACATTCAGACTTGCAAGACTTCTGTTACTGAAGCTGTTAAAACAAAATTAGTCCTGGCATTGTTTTCTAAGTTTCATATACCTTGTATATGATAGCAAGGAACTTCATCAGAACATAAATATTTTCTTCACCATGAAGAATACTTCTAATTATAGGAAATCCATTCAAGTAGCTGAACATCAAACGAGCCCTAATTAATATTTGCTTAGGTATTGTTTTTCTTTTTAATCAGATCTTCTATAACCTTACATTCTGAGAACAAATCAGTACAGGTCCTGTTTGTTTCACTGGGGCTCATTTCTAGGTTGTACTTTCCCTTAGTTCCATAGAAGTAGATTTTATAACAGATTTACTGTATTTTTGAGTTAATGTTCCATTAAAGAACATTTGATTGATGTTGCCTTTAGTAATAAAGTGATACTGGGCATATTTGACCAGGATATACTAAGAAAATGTTTTCAGATCAGCTGAATTGAATGCATGCTTTTAATTTTTTTAAAACTTTGACAATTTGAAAGCATATTTTAATTTACCAAAGCAACTTTCCTGAATAATTAACCATGAATTGCCTCTCTTCTTAATCAAGCTAGTGTTCTCTAAGGATTATTTTTTTTAAAAAAAATCTTGTTACTTCTAGGAAACTAGAAATGTAAAAAATTGTGATGCTAACTGGATTAATGTGCATATATTTTGAAATATGTCCAGAAGGATGTAAGGTTTTATTTTATTTTTGGAATGTCTATGAGTTAGCCACAACCAGCAAATTGTTGTTTTTTTAAAAGCTGAATTATTAATTTGCTGCAGTTAAATAATAATTCTTTTTCTGATAAAGGATCCTCACTGTAAACACACACACACACACACACACACACACACACACACACACACACACAAACGTACATATACATACACACATACAAACAAACAAACAAACAAACAAACATAGGCTCTCCGTTTAACTATAATAATTACTTTCATTACAGTGGAGAAATTTGCACACAATTTTTCCCTGCATGCTGGTAGTTTTAAATGCACATTTAGAAAGAAAAGTACATTTTCAAAGCAATTTTACATTTGCATGACTTTAAGAACTGGGAAATTGATACAGCATCAGTCCATTGGTAGAACAGCTGTCACATCTGGCAGCCTCATAGTCCCAAAAAGGGAAAGAGTAACAAGTACAATTTTTGAGACATTGTACTGGAATAGCTGCCAAAGTGACAACATATTGGACACTTAACTGATTACCTTCTTTTGTAAAATGTTTGTTTACACTGTCACTTCAAACTTGAAACTAGTTTCCAAAATGACTTAGGAAAAAATGGGCTAGTTTAATGTGAATGAAAAGCAGAGGCCTCCTTCCTAGAAACACTATATAATGGAATAGGTTTGTAAGAATAGAAGTCCCCTCCATCACACTGTAGGCTTTAGATAGTCTCTCCTGCAGGTTAGAGGCAATCATTTCCAAGGCCGTGGTCTTTTTTACAGTTAATGAATGAAAATGGTGGAAATAAAAATTAGTTATTATGTTTAGGAAAAATGTATTAAATAGATACTTGCAATGATGTACTTAGGATAATTATACTAAAATCACATCCTATTCTAGAAAGAACGACTGTATACACAAGCAATACAGCAAGACATTTAATCTAATTTTAGAAATAAGAAACATAATTTAGACTGTTAATGGTAAGATCTGTAACACCCTATCCCTGTTTGATGGCTACAAATTAATTCTCAAAATTCCCCACAAATCTGAAAGGCACCCAACTAACATAACAAGGAAGTTTAAAACCCATGGCTGGCAGAATTGATTTCAAGTTTCAATCTGCATTTTTAGTCCTACTCTGTAAATGCTTTGTAATGACAAATTGAGAAAAAGAGTATTTGAAATCCTGGAGAATGGTCTCTCCAATGATCTTTTTCAATATTAACAAGCAAATTTTTCCACATGTGAATATTTCAGTGCTGCAAATAAGTTGGAACAACAAAGCCAAAGTTCCAAATTCTTATATCATAAAATATATCCAAAAGTATACCATAAAATATATTCCAAAATGTGGCCAGTGGCTTCTGCAGCAATATATTGTTTCTAATATTAGCGCATCCAGGAACCAGAAGCATAGTAGAAGACTGTGGATCTTATGATTTTGGTGTTTTCATTTTGGTGTTTCATGTAAGCCATATCATTGGCACAGGTGTTGACTGTTGCACTAACAAGCTGTCTTTTAGACAGTGCAACAGGACATGGTAACACTTTCCCCAATTGGATATGAGCTTGTCTTCTCTCCCATGTATAGCAATGTTATAAAAGTGTTATTTTACCAATGTACATCTCCATATTTTTAGTTAAAATGGAAGAAAAAAAGAATCAAGTGATTCAGATTTATAATATGGTATTTAACCTTTATTTTTGGAGCTCAATATCCTAAAGCAAATCTTTAAAATCCTCCTGTCTCATTTTTCATTTAATGAGAATTTTGATTTCCCAAGATTTTCAATGTAAGTTTACATGTAATACCATTCAGTTAGAATTCTTCAAGTTTATAGGCTGTACTCCAAAGGAAATAGTAAATCAAACCAAAATTATTAATGTTTATTGTCACAAATACCAAATATTAATAACCAGTGCTGTTTAGACCAGGGGTCCCCAACTCCTGGGCCATGGCCCATTACCAGTTCAGAAATGGACCACGTGAGCAGCGGGCTGGTTGGCTTAGACTATGATATAAAGAAATTCTATTTCAGCTATTTGTGTCTGTGTCTGTGTGTCTATCTAGATTCATCCTTCCACCATCTAATGCCTTCTAGATACATTGAGCTACAACTGTGCTGCCTGGGGTTGATTTTATCTGGCGTGTTCCAGGTTGGGAGGGGAAGATTGGTTTATGCAAGATATTTACCTGTATATTAATTTGTGTTGGAACATTAATAAAATATGTCATTTTTAATTTTAGAAAGCTCCAGGAGTCACTTAGCAAATATTATTTGGCTACCAAAATAATGATTGAAACTACTGTTGATTTGCAGTGTACTTTTGAGTATAGTCTATCAAATCTTTAGCCCTGATTCTATCACAAAATATTTCCACTACAATGGAGAGAAAAAAAGAAGATAGTATTTCCAAGTATAACAATTAAATTATCCTACTTAAGTACATCACGTTTCTAAAATAATTCCACAATTGTAAATACTTTAACGTAAGATAGGAAAGGCTTCTGCTGCTTTTGATGTATATTTTATTTTATTGGCAAATGAATGACAACCCCCCCAATCCCCTTTTACCTAGTACCATGAATCTACAAAGAGATTTTATTTCTGTTTTATAGCCAACAAGACGATCTGCAAGATTATCAGCTGTAAGTATTTGTAAGAGTTATTTTTGTAAGTATGAAGCCCCAATATCTCTTAATCCAATCCATACAAGTTAACATTGGTTATGTCATATGTCATATGTAAGAAAATCATTAATTTTTTAACTACCCACAAGAGAGGATAAAGTACATTAACTCTTATCTGAAATAACCAAGGATTGCTGCATTTTTCACTTCCATGAATATTGGGAGGTCCCAAAACAGGTTAGAACAGTTGAAGTTTATTTTGAAACTGAGAACACTGGACTTCTAGGACACTGTTGTAACATTTACTGTATCTATAAATATACATGCAGAGCACACCTGATTGGGCAAATACAAACTCTCCTGCACATTTAATCAATATTGTTTCTTGAGATTTGCAAAAAGTTGCATTTCTTACTAAAATCTTTGCCTCTTTTTTCCTAAGTTCCAAATTAGTGTTCTTCCTTTGTTTTGATGGAATGTATGATCGCTCCCCAAAGGCTAGAACAGAGGTCCCTTACCCTTTTGGCTCTGGGGAAACACTTGGTTGTTTGTTTAGATATGATGGCCAGCTCAGTCCAATGGCTGCAGGATAAGAAAACACAATCTAACTGCCTCAGAGGTTTGGCTAGCTACAGCATTTTATGAAAAACCCATTCATAATAAACTCCTTTTGTCTTGTTTCTTTTCTTCTTCTTTTCTTCCTGCTCCCTACTTTGTCTTTTGGCCTTAAATGGTAGCATCAACCAAACCAATTTTTACTTTCCTCTTCCACCCCTTTTAATAAAAATAAAAGTAATTATTTGCAATTATAGTACTGCTGTCTCCCAGCCCTCGTGCTCAAGCGCTCTCACCCCCACATCACAGAGCCAATGAGCAAGCAGCCAGTTCATGAGGTAAAGCTTTTCTGGGTGCTTGAGCCAGTCTGGAAATGGGAAAATACCATAGTCCCAAAGAAAGAAAATGCACAGGCTAGCTCAATTTTCAAAGAAGTTTAAAATAAGAAAAAAGTTAAAATCCTCTTACTGTCAGAAAGAGACACACAGATATATATATTCATGTTTCTAGACCACCCATCTCCTTCAAGAAGGACTCTTGTAGGTACTATGAGGAGTTCTTGTGGACATAATGTGGCCATATGCATAACACTGGAACATTAACATTTCTACAAGTCATCTGACTGGAAACAAATTTCAGGATATATGGAATGGTCCCATTAAATTTGGGTCCCATTAAATTTGATTTAAGTCCAGGCTCATTCATAACCAATCAATTCACAGCAAAGATGACTAATCTGATAAATATTTGTTGATTATTTTCTTCATTTTCTTTACAGGGAATAGTATTTTTAAACAAGAAAGAAAAAGTGATATATCTAGTTCAATTACCTGGAAGAGTTTCTTGCAATATATTTCTAATTTATAGGAAAAGAAACATGAAATGTTTCTGAGGAAGGTATAGGAACTAATTTTTACAAAGGCAAACTGTGTTTATGGACATCAGCTCGTTCCTTATCACAATAAGAAGGAAAGGAGAAGGAGTAACTTAATGTTTGTTATTACCTGTGCTAATGGTTGCATTCTCTGAATATATTTTCTAGAAACCTGCTCCACCAAAACCTGAGTCTAAGCCAAGGAAAAGCGCTAAGGTAAAACACTCATGATTTTTTACTTTTATTTTCTTAATCACCCTTTTTGGTCTGCTCTAGTTTTATCTTTCTGCAAGGAGCTCAAAGTGGTGTGTGTAGGGGACACCCCTCATTTCATTTTCACAGTAAGGATTCTCTGAGATAATTTGGGGAGAGAAAGAGAGACTGGCCTAAATTCACTCAGTGAACATTGCGTTCATACAGGCTAGAAATTAGATTTCTCCAGTCACCTGATCATTATTTCAGATTTTTCTCCACCAATATTTAAAACACAATTATTGTTAACACTAGAAATAATAATAGTGAACTGTAGGTTTTTATGCCAGAAATTATTGTAAGAAACCATTATCAGCATAGACTGTACAGGTGGTCTTCACTTAATAAGAGTAATTGGTAGCGAATTTCTGTCAAAAAGTGATGCAGTCATAAAGCATGATGTCAGGTGACGACAATGCTTAGTGATGGAGATTCTGGCATTTCCGGTTGCCTTTATTAAGAAATCCCATGCCTTTGTTAAGCACAATATTAAGTGGTCACCATTTGCACCCTCCTCTGGCTTCCCCATTGACTTTGGTTTAGGAAGCCAGCAAAGAAGATAGAAAATGGTGATTATGTGACCATGGAATGTTCTGACATTGTAATTGTGTTCTGATTGCGAGCCCCACTAGCTTGCATTCATTGTCACACTGCAACCGTTGTAAGTACAAGGACCAGTCATAGTACCACTTATTCAGCACCATCATCAGTTTGAATAGTCATTGAACAAGTGGTAGTTAAATGAGGACCACTTGTATCTGTACTCAAAGGAGAAAAGAGTAATTATTGTGAAAAGTGGAGCAATAAATGTATTCTGTTTTATAAAATCATAACTGAAGAAGCTGTAGAACATATATTGGACATGGTCTGGAGAACTATATGGAAAGTGGATTAGCTGTATTTTTTTCTTTCCAAGGTAAAGATGTTATAATATTTTATTGCTGATGTAAATGTACAAATTATAATTTTTTTTATTATGATAACCCAACCACACCTCATTCTTATACAGAAATCATCCAGTACTGCTGGATGCAGAACTGACCTCTTGGGCAGGTGTCAGACCATTACTTCCTTTAGGGCAGGTGGAAATCTTCCTTTTTGCAAGGAAGCATTCACCACTGGTTGGAACACTTCTCATGAAGTGTTGAGCAACTAGAAAGACACGTACATTGATAATCAATATGAAGTATGCCAAGGAAGCCCACCGGGTGTTGATGAGCTAGTTACTATCATCAAAAGGTCTTTTTGAGATAAAATACAGAGAAAAGTGTACTTAGTTTTTTGCTCATGGAGCAAAGGCAGGATATAAACATAATAAATATCTCAGTTGACAAATGCCATTTGTTTTGGGTGCAGCCATGACAAAGTAATTGGTTTGAGATAATTTGGTGATAAAAACCTTACAATTAATGAAACACATATTTTATAAAACAGTTACAAGGTCTGCCCTCTATAATTTATTGCAATATCTAATTTGTTCTTACAGCTTTTTAAATTCAGTCCCACATCTCACTTACTCTACCTTCTGCACCTTTCTCTCAAATATTACATCAAAGCTCTTTCTAGATATATGTTCACCTGGAACACTATCTCCATAGCAGTCATTTCAATCCAAATATCATGGAAAAGGAAGCAATTCACCAATAATAGTGAAGGGAGGAGACTTCTAATCCACCAATCTAGTATAGATTAATGAGGTCTTCCATTGGGGAATATTAGTAATTAACTTGTTAAATATAATTAACCAGTTGGTTAGAATGGTCTTCTTGGTGTAAGAGTACTCACAATGGATTCCTGTGCATGTTTATAAACAAATAAGTCTCCCTGTTTTTAACTCAGTAAAATATGTATCACAGGGTGAGACAATTCCAACATTCTATAGGGTACAGTGGTGAAATCTAACTTTTTTTTGCCACTGGTTCTGTGGGCGTGGCTTGGTGGGCGTGGCTTGGTAGTGGTCATGTGACTGGGTGGGCGTGGCCAACTTTTTTTTTTTTACTTGTTAAAAGCATTTTTAACTAGTAAAAAATGCTTTAAAAAGTAAAAAAAACCAAAAAGGTTCCAATGATCAGCATTTGACCAACCTGACCCCCCTCGCCAAGCCAGACCCAACGCCTCCTAACCCCAAAGTTTGCCCATCTTTCCACATCGGCCATCCAGTCCGGGAGATGACGGGGGGGGGAGAGCGAGAGAAACAAAGCGCTTGGCTGCTCCCCCTTTTCACTCACCTCGAGATTCCTGCTGATTTTCATGCCTTGCTTCACACGCCCAGGATTGTCACCCTCGTCTTCTTCTTCCTCCTCTCTGTTTTCCAAGTGGAAAAACGCCAGGAGCAAGTGCAAGTCCATTTGTAGGAAGCTTTCACACCTATGAAGGCAAGTCTGGCTTCCTGTGCTGCTTGCTAAAAACCTCACCAGTACCGCTGTGTGCACAGCTGGTATGTGTACGTGTGTGTCTTTGCTCCTGGTCTTTCGCAGCAGCCCATGCCTGACGTCCCGTCTCTGGCTGGCTGAACCAGAGTTGGGGAATTCATTCACCCCTTCTGGCCTTGCCCAGGCCGGGCTGGCAAAACCGCCCCCAGATCGCTTTGAGGGTCGTGCGGTGTGACGGCCGATTTCTGCTGCTCTTAAAGGCCTAGGAGCGGATCCGGGCACTGCCATTCCGAGCCTGCCGGGGGCAACCACCGCCTCACCTGTTGCGCCTCCCGGGGCAGTCGGAGCAGGCAAGGTGCCCGCTCCCCTTCCCGGGGTGGTGGGGACAGGGCGAGGTGCCTTTAAGATGAGCGGCCGGGGACGGGATGTCGGACATGGGCTGCTGCGAAAGACTAGGAGCAAAGACACACACAGGCTTTAAAACACCTTTAGAGCGACTTGGGGCTTCATCTGGTTGGCCTCCAAAGAAAAGAGGAATGAAGGTGGGGTGGATTGGAGGGGTCATTTCTCCCCCCTCCCTGCCTCCGCACCAACATTCAGTGCAGCCTCGCTTGGCCCCTCCCTGATGCGCCCCAAGGTTTGTTGTCGGCAGGCTTATGTATCAAAGCCACGGTTGATCACCTGAAATTCACCCATGAGGGGGAGTGAGAGGAAAGGAAAGTGAAGATTGTGGTGGGTAGCTTCTGAGGAGGGATACTTGTGTGCGTGGGAGGTGAGTGACCGTGCCCTAGTTACAGGGAAAAAGGCGATCAATTACTGGTTCATATGTATAATTAACGAGTTGATAGAGGGAACAATTCCCCGGGCTACCAAAGTGCCCCCTCCCACTTTTTTCTCCCTGCTGCTCTGTCCTACCCTCATAGCCACTTCTTCCTCTCTCCTGCCGCTGCCCCCCCTCCCGCCCCCCAGAATTCAGGATCAGCCTGGCACACATGATCCGGGGCTGAGGTAGGGAAAGGGAGGGCACGGCATTGCACTTGGGGGAGCACATGCTCAGCCTTCCTTTTTCTTTGCCGCATAAACCCGGGGCTGAAGGGCTTTCTGTTTGACCCCTCCCAGTACAGGGCTTGATTTCACACTCACCTTCCCCTCCCCTCGCCACTCTGCTTTCGTCCTCGCGATTTTAAAAGGAATATATTTATAGTTAAAAGCCAGACATCCTGTCCCGGCCGCTGATCTTAAAGGCGTCTCGCCCTGCCCTCGTTGCCCCAGGCATGGGAGCGGGCGCCTTGGCTGCCCCGGAGACCCCTGACCGGCCTGCCTGGGAGGCGCAACAGGTAAGGCAGTGGTTGCCCCAGGCAGGCTCGGAATGGCAGTGCCCGGATCCGCTCCAGGGCCTTTAAGAGCAGAAGAAATCAGCTGTCACTCTGCACGACCCCCAAGGCAATCTGGGGGCGGTTTCGGCCAGCCTAGCCCGGGCAAGGCCAGAAGGGGTGAATGAATTCCCCAACTCTGATTCAGCCAGCTGGGGACGGGACGTCAGGCATGGGCTGCTGCGAAAGACCAGGAGCAAAGATACACACGCACACAAGCCGTGCTCACAAGTTTTTAGTGAGCAGCACAGGAAGCCAGACTTGTCTTCACAGGTATGAAAGCTTCCTACAAATGAAAAAACGCCAGGAGCGAGCACGCGCTTCTTTTTGTCTTGCTCCTGGCGTTTTTCCACTTGGAAGACGGAGAGGAGGAGGAAGAAGAAGACAAGGGTGACAATCCTGGGCGCATGAAGCAAGGTGTGAAACTCTGCAGCAGGTAGGTGAATGAAAAGGGGGAGCAGCTGAGTGCTTTGTTTCTCCGGAACTGGTAGTAAAAAAATGCTTAAAAAGAAAAAAAGAAAAAAAAGTTCCCACGATCCCACATTGCTCAGCTGACTATTGGAACTTTTTTTTTTAACTTTTTAAGCATTTTTTTACTACCGGTTCTCCAGAAGTAAAACCAGGAAGTAACAACAACTGGGCGGGTGGGCGGAGCCTCGAGCTGCCATCGCTACCGGTTCTCCAAACCACTGGCCATCATCACTACCGGATTGGCCTAACCGGGAGCATTTCACCCCTGATAGGGTATAACCTTCTACCCTCTGATCTGGCAATAAATCCCATTTTCTTTTAGTCCCTATTTACAAACAGTTGGAATCAGCTTCTTTTCCATTAACAAATAATTCTGAATGGAAAGGATAATCTAGTGTGATTTTCAGCAATTTTCCAGCTTTTGGTCAAACTTTCTCTCTCTATTTTTAGAAGGTCTCCAGGAAGTAGGATATAAAAGTGCAGTGGAATTGACAAAAGCATTTTTCCATTCTTCAACAAAATTCTTTCTTTGGTCTGAAAGCTCTCATCTGTTTGAGGCAGGATCCAGATCCAATCCTGTATTAGTGTGTTTAATCTGAGATATAAACAACCTACAGGCTGGGAAGGTTGCTCTGGATTATTTCTTGAAATTTCATCCAAAAGCATATTCCATGTTCTTTTCAATTACTTTCTCTACCTATGAACACTTCCCAATTTATTATTTGATGTGGTAAAATAATATTGGATAATATTTTAGATACTTACCGGTATATTAACCAACAGTAATAACATATTTACATTTCATATTTACAAACGGGAGAAAATAGGGTGAGTTATCTCATTTTCTTTCTTGTACACAAAAGAGAGAAACATATTCCCATGATAGAAACGTGTTTATTTATTTATACTACTTTTAATAAATAACTCAAGGCAGAAAACATGCCTAATACTCATTAAATATCTCTTTTCCTTTTCTTCTTGAAAGTGGGCCAAAAGAAGGGAAAAGTACAAAAGATCATGGGCAAAGTATAGTATATTTTTATATCTTTCAGATTTAATGGTAGGAAAATGTATAGCAGTGTCAAATCACATAATTTGCTATGCTAAAATTTAACCATCTAAAAGACATTTGGTGGTTTTTAAAAACTTATTTTTAATTGTAAAAGTAACATGGTGCTTTGTCATAAATTTTGTCTATATCTATGGGCAGAGCCTCAGTCCAGGACATCCTAGATGTGAGAAAACTTTGGCAAGGCTTCATTTCTTCATGCACCCCTATCATTCCATTCCCTATCAATGGTTTTCAAATTACAGAGTAGAATATAAACTGCATTTTTGTGAGATACTGCTGGTTTACTGCAGTCATGCAGGATATCATGTCAGACCTAACTCCAGTTGTCCTAATGCTACTCTCTGCAACATTGGTATAATTATACTGCTACCATATTCAGCTCTTGGGAAATACAATCAATCTCATTCTGCTAAAAATATGGGAGGTCACAATTACTACTGCTCAGAAGCTAGTCATTTGTTGTTCCTGTAAAATGTCATTTAGTATTTCTTGCCAGCCAGCATAGTTTTGATTCCCTTTACTTGCTTCTGCCAGGTGTTTCCTCTACGAAGATAAGGAGCCTCACTATCTCACCTGTCAATCATTTCTGTATTTCTCATGTGATGAAGGATTCTCATTTAGTTATTAGATAGTAACAAGAGTTGCTATTTGCTGGTTTCTTCTTGTAGCCTTCATAATCTTGATTCAACTGAAGTTTACACTATGACAGCTATAATAATGTTATAAATAACATAAGAGTCACATTCCAAATGTGACATGACAGCAAAAGATCCTTGAAGGTGTGCATCATAGTAGGTGGGTTTTCACCAAAATTTTCTCATCTCTGTAACTTTGATTATGGCTCTGCATAATTTCAGACACATACTAATGTCTTCTCAAAGAAATGGAGTTAAAAGCAAGTATCTTGTATTATTTCTGGAGACTTTTACCTAGGTGCTTTCTCCAGTGTATAATAAATCATTCTGTACATTTGATCTGTTATCAGAAGGAACCTGGAACAAAGGCTAATAAAGGTTCTAAAGGGAAGAAGAATGAAAAACAGGAAGCTGCAAAGGAAGGTACTACACCATCTGAAAATGGTGAAAGTAAAGCTGAAGAGGTACTTTATATATCCTGCTGATTCAGTCAGTGTTTTACAATTCAGTTTCTGAGCTGTTGAAAGCATGTTCATAATACTTTTTTTTGTTGCCCCCGTAATGTTATTACAGATTCTCATCTCTCGCTCAACTGTTAGTGTTTCAACATCCAGAGGTGTCCCACCCAGCACATGTCAGTAAAAGGGCAGATTGAAACAGTGAAAGTTAAGGGTACAGTAGAGCATTCTGCATATGCAGTGAATAGGAGCAGATAGTAGTGTGGTGCTTTTCATTGTGAACAATGGAAGCTAGCAGGTAAGGTTTCTATGGCTTTTACAAACCAGGAACCTGTAAATGTAAGAATATTTATAGTTGTCCTGTCTATAATACAATAGTTGTTAAATAACCTGTTTCGTCTGCTTCAAACTTTTGTAGCAAAAGGAAAGATGGCGAGTGCTGAAAAGTTGTTTAGAGAAGATGAAGTAGGGTTAGTCTTTCTTTATAAAAGGCAGGCTGGCATAACATTTTCCCTTTTCCCTTTTACAGGCACAGAATTGAATCAGTAGATGACAGGTGCATATGAACTGACATGAACATTTGAGGATGTTTTTATGTACCTCTTGACAACTTTTAAAAGATATTTTTATCAAGGATTTTGTAAATGCTAATTTTTTAGGACTTACAATAAGTTGATAAAGTATATATGAACACTTCTTCCTTCTGTATCAGTACTTCTAGAAATTCCCAACATTGTCAAGTTAAGGGGAAAAAAGTATCATTAACACAACTTTTGGAAAACAAAAGTATTTATAAAATTGAACAAGCATTCCATATATTTGCTTTTCAGAGATGTATGTCTTGGTGCATATAGTGATGTTTTTACTATGGGTGTTAGAGATTTTTTGCCATTTCCCCCCTAGAGCAATAATCTGTGGTGCTTTTGTAATTAAGAATTAAGTGTTTTTAATTAAACATGTATACATTTGGCTACCTGCTGCCCATTATGGGATCCTTTTCATTTTTAAAAAATAACAAGTCTCAGTGCTAACAAATGTGGTTCATCAGTATCTTTCTAAATCAGAGGTACACCTTGTAATGCTTGTCAGAAAAATATTAAGCACACTTGTTTAGAAATTTGGTTACAACAGTTATTTCAGAATCAAGATTATAGTTCATAGAAAACAGCAGAGCTTACAACATAATACTAAAAATTGATTCACTTTATGGTTGGGAACGGATAAGAATAATATTTACAATTCATGTATTTTAAGCAAACTAGCAGAGCTTTAAGAGGCAGCCACCCCTTTGCAGAGCTATTTGCCAAATATACCAGAACACCCAAAGCCTGGATGCAAAACTACAGTCTTTAAGGAGCTCTTATGAGCTATCTTACACACCTGGATGGTTCACACATCTTGAAGGCCTTACACTTTGTACAGAAAAATGTAAATTGCCCATGGATTATGTAACAAATTATTTTTTTCAGCACTGTTTTATGCTACAGTATTGTAAGTGGAAATTAGTTTATGCTTTCTTGAAAGAAAAGTTACTTCACTTTCGTATCTCCTTCTCGCAGTTTGTCTCAGCTTAACCCTTAGTATTTTCTGTTGCTTTTTTGCATTTACTTAATTTTTTATATCAAAATGGAGATTTAAAACACTGGGGTGGTCTTCTGAAGCAATGATGTAAAAAATACCTTCGAAGGAGTCTATACTTGTAATGATGTTAAAATAGGGGTTTTTTTTCTAACTCATATTAACACTGTTTTAGCCTCTTGTAAGCATCTAGTTATTTCTTCTTTTGGGCTGAAATTTGAGTACTTTTATTTTCTGAGGGTTTGGAAAAAATTTCTTCATAACATTTTTATTGCTGCACCTGTTGGAGTGTTTGGAGTTATATGCATGTTTCAACCAATAAAGTAATTATCATCCAATCCAAATGTCTTTATTTAGTATTTAGCAAAAATGATATTAACAATAATGATTAGCTACTTTTACAAATCTTAGTTTTAAAAGAGATTCAATTCCTCTTCTATGCTTATGTTGCTGGAGAAAAAAATGATATAATATAATAAAAGTATTCCATGTGTTGATATACATGATAAATACAATATTATACATCAAAAGCTTGAAGATGTGTTTATATGAAAATGATTTTCCCTAGTCCTTATCATTTTGCAAAGATCCAAAACATTGAACGGGTTTTGAATAATATGCAGCTCAATCTTTTCATACAGTAAAACATAATAACACAATTTGTGATTGTTTTTTAAAGTAAAGCCCTACTGATTTTCTTCTTTAGCTTTTATCACAAAACATAATAGGTTTATGATATACAAACACTAATGAATTTCTTTGCAGCATCTCTTTGATGTAGGATGCTCTTATTCTCCATCTTGCAGTTAGGTAATTAAGACACAAGAGATTCATTGCCCAATCTTTAAAGCTTTTGTAATAGAAGAAAAAGAATGAATAGTACTTACATGGTCCTAGAACTGAAAAAAAAAGAAAAAAAGAAAACTGAAAAATTGTTCATGGGAAAATTAGAAATTAAATTAAATGCTCCTGTCATAGTATAAGACTTTATCACATGTCCATGATTTCTCCCTATGTCTAATATATTTTAAAACCTCTTTTACTAATTTTCCATTGTTTGATAAAGTGTAATTTACACACATTTCAAATTATACAAAATGCCATTTTAGTTTGCTTGATGTATCTGAAAAAATATATTACATTGGGTCATACATTTTATGTAATGCAGGCACAATTGTAGGTAAAATCTATAAAGCTGGATTATTTATTGATCAAAAATAGCATTCCATATATGAAATGTTAAATGTTCTTCAAAAGCCCTTTTTAAAAGTATATTTGAATTCTATTTAGTGTAGATTTCCATAACAATTAACAACCTACATTTAAGATAGTACATAGAAAGAAATGGCAGATGACAGGAGATTATAGTCATATGTTGGTTAAATGTCTCTGTTTATTTAAAACCCATACAGTAGTACTATGATGGAACTATCTATCCTTTGCTAAGAAAACACAAATTAGCATCGACTTGGACATTTTTTGCTCACATGATAATAGAGGAGAGACGGGGAACATATGTAATGGCAAGCATTGCCTCTTCCAAATATCATTTTCCATCAATATGTACTCCAATATACGCTATAGGGCAAACATCTAAATAGAAACCTCACTTGCATGCAGAGGCTAAAATCAAGGTTCTAGATTTTATAAGCCTGAAGCCTGCAATGGAATACAAACTCAGCAAATGTAAAGCAGAGATGGTGAATGGAATAGAACTATCACCTTTACATTTGCTCTTCCTCTTCAATTTTTGATTCTTTGCACCATTGAAACATATATCAGAATTGTTGGCAGTATCCTTTCTCAAACCATTAACAGAATAATGTACTAGATAGAATATTTGGTTCATAGTCAAGAGAATTTTTTCTTTTAGCACTTGACATTTCTACAGTTTGAAATAATTTCAAAAAGGTAAATATTAAAAAAGTAAAATTATGCGAGAAATATAAGTGATTGCATAATTACTTTGTACAATAGTTATTAGAAAACCCAGTTCTAAGAAGCAAAGATCCAAATAGCAATTAATGTAGGTGGGCCTCACTGATGAGAAAGTCCAAGAGAGAAAATGCATACACCTTATTTTTATAGGATCGAGATCAAGAAAAGATCAGGAAAAGTTGCAAACTAAGAAAATAGGAGAACTCTACAATTAGTGAGATTAAAAGGAATTGAATGAACTTTGAAGATTAAGGGAAGCTTAATCTATAAATGAAAATTACAAAGCAGAGATTACCACAAAACGTCACAGTTAAGAGAAACAGTATTAGGACTAGTAGGAATCAGTGTTCATAAAAATACACCTGGAATAATTTTCTCCCTGATACTAAGTACTAATGCATTCCTTGATATTAGGAACCCTTGAAAGTATTTTTTTCTAGAAAAGAGACATTACTTGCATAGCAGGGAACATATCTGACAAGAAACAGGGTAGACATAGGACTCTAGTATTTTCTGTTGATGGCAACTCTCCACAGATTAATTTCTCAGATAATCTTGTCTCAGATTAATTTCTCTGGACAAAAAATTCCATTCATGTCACATCACAATCAAAATTATCTAAAGTTACTGTAGCTTTCAGACCTTGGATAGCAGGGAGACCTGGATGATAATTTACCGTAAGTATGCAATTTTCTGTAGCAGAAAATATTCAAGTAACTTGAGTCCTGAGTTATATAGGGTTTAAAACACCTGTATTTTGAATTAAAACTGAAATTGATTGGTAGCTAGAGAATTTTTAGCAGTATTAAAGATACTAGAAATATAATTAACCCTCTCATTTTGAGATTTAAAAGAACATGTATGAAATGTATGCTGTAAGAAATTTGGCATCACTCTAAATAAGAATTATTAAATACCCATGGCTTTAATAGTCCATAAAAGAATTTTACAAAATTCTTGAGAGGTAGACATTGTTGGAACTTCTCATTTGAAGGTGAAGAGACTAATCCTGAATTTGCCAAAGTATGCATTCATAATTACCAAACTATTTTACTGTACGGAGGACGAGGAAAACAGGTGCACTCCGCTGTCCTACTCTGCTTCTGAAATCCCTTGCTGTGGCATTAAGGGAAGACACCAGACTCCACTTCATCATCTGTCTTTCTAATAAGGGAGCAGGTGCTGTTTATCTACTTCAGCTTTGCATCTCTGCTTTTCTGCCTGAAATAAGTCTCTAGCCAGACACATTAATGCTTTCACCCTGGGAACCACTACAGAGTGGAAGTTGGAGTGTAACTGTTATATCAATAGGGATGTCCATCTTTATTTTTTGCTTTCTTTGTAATCCATGAAGCAAATATAATTTCAACTCTTTCTTATGCTCAGTGCCAACTATTACTTTGCTAACTATCAAGATTTGTTTAGATAAACTTAAATAATTGCTTTCAAGGTAAATGGCTAATATCTTTCAATCGGTATATGAAAAGCTAAAGATTGCAAAAGCTGGTTCATAAGATTGTGCTTTACTTCCTGGCAAGATTACTAGTCAACCTTCCAAATTTGTATCTAATTTGTATCGATTACTGTATTTTGGCCTTCAGTGAATGCATTCTTGCAGTTTCCGTACCTCCTTTGTTATCACATTTCTCATTTAAGTAGTTAATTCACTGTATTCCATTTTTTTGCAAGTATGTTGCATGTAGCAGTCTTAATTTCAGGATGGGTTTTTGTATCATCTAGACTGCTGCTATTTTAGGACCCTATTATAAAGAGAAAGTGAAAATTAATAAGCACTCTACAAGTGACTCCATTTAAGAAATCCTTATGGTCTTCTTTAATACAATAATATTTCCTATTACACTTACATAGGTAAAATATGAACAGATGCACATTTTAAAAACTGGCATATCTGGGCAGCTTCATGGAGTTGTACTAGAACATATATACACATTTTGTTACATTTTTTATACAGATATTGATGAAGAAACATTAATTTCCCCATATAAAGTTAATTTCTAGTTACATATAATTGTTTCTTTTTTGAGGCCCATGTAACAAGCCCACAGATGTCGATGTCTTTTCAGTTATGCAGGCAGTCTACTATTTTAGCAAAGTTGTTTAGATTACAGTAATTAATTCATCCATTACATTTCCATGTTACGTTTCTATAAAGTTAGTTTTTCTTTAAGCAGACACCACTAACACTCTTTTTATCCTTGAACCTGAGAATTTTTAATTATTTAAATGTGGTCCTGAAAGAATTTTGTTTAATTAGCACACACATGCACATATAGAAAGTAAAAGTACAGTAATTGTTAAAAGATTTAAAGCCTCCTGAAAACATGATTATCCAAAATAAGCATTCATGAAAAGATAGCATTTATCACTAAAACCAGTACTTCCCAGCCTACCACATTCCAGATGTCTGGGATTTCATTTTCCATAATCCTCAATTCAGCATATTCATTAACATTTAGAAGACAGCAATTTGGAGAAGGCCATCCTGGCTATCTCTGATTTTATTTCTTGTTCACCCAGAAAATGTAGTTGAAAAATCCATCATTATTACCAATGTCTAGTCTAGTGTCACTAATTTAGCCTTAACTGTAAATGCTGCATGTGAAAATAATCCTGATATGCTATATTGAAGGTGAATATTAATATTTTTAGCATGGATTTTAGGCTACCAGTGCTTTCTGTTTAAAAGGATACATAGTTAGAAACATGCAGTTCTTAATTTCTGACATATTAGAAAACAGAAAAAGTCAATTGTGGATAGGAAAGGCACTGGGTTCTAGCTTTTATGGTTTTGCTGTTTTAGTTGTATTGCTGGTGTGAGTCACCCAGAGTTGTATTGTAATAAGGCAGCCATACGGATCTTTAAAATAAATAAATAAAACTAGAAAAGGATGGTATATACTCACTCCTTGTTTAGAGTTAAAGTTTCATTCCATTGATCAGATCGTTATGCAAAATGATTGCTTGTGTATTTGTGTGTGAGAGAGAGAGACAGACAGACAGACAGACCCTGCAAAAATTGTTTCGTGCCATTTCGTTCAGATATTTTTGCATAGCCATTTCAGTGTTACTCCACAGCATGTATTGTCAAGTATGTAAAATTGGATTCTAAATGTGTATTGTCAGAATTTTTTTATTACCATTAAATTTGTGGTCACTAACCAAGATAATAACTAAACAAAGAGTGGGTATAAAAGAATTCACAATTCTCCTATTGAAATTATGTGACAAGTGGACAGTTGTAGCGAACAGTTAATACATGCTTTATATAATAATTCTGAATCTGTTTTATAGTGTTTTGCAACAGATGATTTATATTTGAAGACAAAAATGTCTTCAGCTTTGAATACGGTTCTGCAATATGTTGGTCAGGTAATACCAG